ATCACCATAAATTAGGAATGACGGTCTGACGTCCTTATTATTAGTGGGGGGGAAAACGGTTCAATCAGGCCTTGTGGCGAAAGTACTTCGAGTGTGCGGCTGAGACCCTCCGAAATTCCTCGCCACACCAGTAAAATGTCTGAAAGAAAATGCTGTGAGATTCAATTGTAACATTACCTCAGGTGCATCAGTAACACCTGGATATAAAATTACACAGGCCGACAAAATTTTAAAAATGGAAAAACCCAGAAACCAGACAGTACGTTCCCAAAAGTTTTTAGTGCGTTGAAACCGAATCTGACCTCAGAATTGCTCATTCACCCTAGGTTTTCGAGAAATCCTAAACTAAAAGTTCAAAAAACACGATTTTTCACTATATTTTGCGTAGTATTACGTCGTAAGCCAATTTTATTTTAAAAAACGAGTAAAGCTATCTGAAAGTACTACTCTTACCCTTCAAAACCCTTTTTTCAGATTTAAAAAATCTTTTTTTTCCATCGAGATATCGTAGATTGAATTTGAGTGATTTAGCAATTTCGTTTGCAGACTTGCAGGACTCGGGGGTTGAATATAATTTGGAGTCTTGAGGTATTCTGCGTAGCGAATTTCAGTATGAGGGTTGGGGGTTATAGCGTCGCGATAATAGGGCTCGAGGGTTGAGGAAATGGGGGTGTGAGGGTCGGGGGTTATAGCTTCGCAGGTTAAATGCTCGAGGGTTGAATCAATTGGGGTATGAGGGTCGGGGGTTATACCGCAGCAGGTTAAAAGCTCGAGGGTTAAGGAAATTGGGGTGTGAGGGGCGGGGGTTATACGCAGCAGGTTAAAGGGCTCGAGAGTTAAGGATATTGGAGTAAGTCGGTCAGGGGTTACAGCGTCGCAGGTTATGGGGCTGTAGGGTTAAGGGAATTGAGATTATAGAGTCATTCTGACGTTAAATTTGGATTCAGTGATCCAAAAAACATATAATTACACTATAACTTCTTATTCGGAAATTCGCCACTATTTCGTGCTGTAACGAAATCGCTAAATCACTCAAATTCAATCTACGATATCTCGATGGAAAAACAAGATTTTTTAAATCTGAAAAAGGGTTTTGAAGGGTAAGAGTAGTACTTTGAGATAGCATTACTCGTTTTTTAAAATAAAATTGGCTTACGACGTAATACTACGCGAAATATAGTGAAAAATCGTGTTTTTTGAACTTTTAGGTTAGGATTTCTCGAAAACCTAGGGTGATGGAGCAATTCTGAGGTCAGATTCGGTTTCAGCGTACCAAAAACCTTTGGGAACGTACTGTCCGGTTTCTGGGTTTTTTTCCTTGTCGGCTTGTGTTACCTAAGTTTCTTCAAATATGATTTATCTCTCAGTTACTATAAAATGTATAGATAATTTGCAATTATGCATCGTTCACCAATTAGATTTCACCTGAAAAATACATGATGAGAATGGTATATAATTTTAATAGTAGTGACGGCTATATGAACAATGTAATGTACAAAGCAACCATCAGTCGTTGACTAAAAGTAAAAACGACAACACGGTGAATTCCCATTGTCAATCGTAATCGGGAAGTGATAGCATTAATATATGAAAGCATAAAGTTTCTAGAAAGGCTTGGCTCAAAAGTAATTTCTGGTGGAAAGTAACGTGCATTATTTTTTGCGGTTTTCAACGAACTAATGGAGAATGTTCTAGAAATACAGTCACCTGTCACCTTTAATGAATCCTTGGCTCATTATGAGATTCATACCATCAACTGTATACCAATACATCTTTCAAAACAGCAATGAAATTTGCATATTAGTCCAACATTAAGACTTGTATATTCTACGATCTCGTAGCTCATTGCGTAATTGTTGGTAGATTGTGTGACAAAAATAATGCAGTCTTAAAAAATACTCTATTTCTGAATAACGCCATCGGTCTCTTGTTTGAGTAAATTAGGATGAGCTGAATGCGATAGAAATCGATAAATAGTCTAACAATTGGTATGAAAAATTGGCTATCACTTAATGCAATTCCAAACTGCATTGCTGAAAATGCCGAACGGATAACAAAAGATAGTCAGAATATAATCAACATGAATGGATATTTCGATATCACTATTTCTTCTAACTTAATTCTCGGATTTGCTGAACATTATCGCAAACTATTGATAAATATGAAACATGAACGAATTCTTACATGATCCAACAGTGATTTAAATGCCGTTATCTACACAAAATCAGTGAATCTTGAAGCAAACATCATAAACTTCAAGATCGAAATAACTCTCATCGAATGAATTATGCGCTACGTTACTGCATCGAATACACAAAAAACTCATTTACTTGATTTTTTGAAAAGAGAAAGAAGCATTTCAATGATTTTTCTTAGTTGGGAGTGATAAGAGTATCCAAAGCTACCTGTGAACGTAAGCCATGTATGGACAGTTAAAACTGCAAATCAACTGAAAAAACCACGCTGTCATGTTACTTTTGCAAACTAAACGAAAAAATATTACAACAGTTAATACGATATATAATATGTATTCGATCATTGATTGATGAAATGTAGTTTCACATTAGTAATGTAAAACTTTTTCTCAATTCTCAATGTTATGCATTTGTATGCGTGTGCTATTCTTAATATTGAGATAAGTAATCATCAGCTTGTAATGTTGTACCACATGTATGCTAATTTCGAAAAGGCATACTATAGCAAAGATTTTGAACAGATGCAAAAAAATATACTTTCATAAGTCAAGTATCACTCATTATCATTAATTGCTCCAAACAAAATGAGGCATTGAAGAATTCTGTAGTGGATGTGCGCTTGGAGTTTGAAACAAGGGAAATTATTAGTGTAGGAACTTCAGCATATTGCTTCATTTTACATGATCTCATCGTTCAATACAATCAAATAATTAGGGATTGTGAAAAAAATTATTTAGAGAATCAGAGCAAGCATGTAAAATTAGTAACGATATGGTTCTACTAGACTATTTTCAAATATTAATTTTTAAAGGAATTGAAAATAGATGAAATTGATGAACTATATACAAATGTCGAATATATATATATATATATATATATATATATATATATATTAGAAAATATAGAGAGTAAAGAAAAAGCTGGGTTCGCATCACAAAAATGAAGTCTTCATAATAATTGATATAAAATCCTCCAAATAATTACTGATACACTAAACAATTTTTGGATAAACTTATACATAACTTTTGTACATTTCTAGATGAATTTGTTGATAGTCAAGGGGCAGATAATCAACATGAAATCAAACATTAAGAATAGATTGTTCATTGTTAAAATTGAATATATAAATGTAGCTAAAGAAAATCCTGATTCATTGCAACAAAGTCTCATTTTTTGACTAGATTGGATGTACTAAAGAGATGGAAAAGATATATTCAATAAAGTAATATTCAATGTGACAAGCGGAATTTCATAAGCAAATAGATATATGATACCAGAGAAATAAAACTTCTTGTGAGTACTCGGAACTCACAAAAATGGGTATTGCAAGATACTATGTAATTTAATAAACTGCCAATTTAATCTTTCCTTATTGTGGGTAAATAGATCTTAAAAATATTACCGAATAAAGCAAAAAAAATCACGAAATATGTAAAACCTACAGACAATAAGTCAATTATAGAAATATTTCCAATAGCTGAAAAATTTCAATTGAACTGTTCCAATACAATAAAAAGTATGAATAAGATATAGATTTTTACTTATATAAAGTATCACAAGATGCTTACATATCAAATGATAAGAAAAAGATTCCTTGGCTCACCCTGTTTCCCTAGGATGAAAATTTTTATAGAAACGATTAGACTGATATTATCGCCTTCGTTAGTATGCTGTCAAACTTAATTATAAAGCGCATAGATATAAATTCATATCATATAAGTGTACAAGAAAATGATAGAATTGAAAAACTATTAAAACAATCACGAATGAATCCAATGTTTGAATGCAATTAACTTCCAGGAAATAAGTCTCTGTAACCTATACCTCTCATATTATCATCAATCAGTAGAAATACAAGATGACTCAGGGAAATGCAACCGGAAAGTTACCGTAGTCTACGTCAGCTAGTTCAAAATTTCTATGCAAAGCAAAGATAATCGCCGATATGAAGACATTTCTGCCCAACAAATGAACAAATGACATTGTCAACATCCTAAACGTTCCATTGCCGCCTAGCGAGAGCAGTGATCATAAAGACATAGGATAAACGATGTATATATTAATAATGAGTCACACAAATTATCAAGTGATATGGTTACGTAAACTAATTTACATGTACAATTAACTCATACCATCTTTCAATCACCTAGCGATTCGACGCCAATATCGTATGCTCTATCAGTTCTGAGATATATCGTTCTGTACTGTATTGTATTGTCGTTCTGTATGGTATTGCACTATACGATATGCTTCAAACATGAATGCTGAAATCTTAAAAAAAATTTAATCGAAAGTCTTACATAATATTGTATATCATGATTGATTCCAAACAAAATTATTCACCACGACCTAGAGATACTATCAATAAAAAAAGAAATGATGACGTTTTATGCAAAATACAATATCAAATTATAAAATTACCTAAAAACGTAATAAAAAAAACATCTTAAGTTATCCATAATTAACATCATACATAAAAAACCTAAATTAATAAATGCATAAATAAATCTCAATATATTAGCTACACTTACTTTAAAATTAAAACAGAAGAGAAATTCGCTGAGTTACATATAAATATATATTTTTAGTAATTAAATTTACTTATTGCTTTATTGTATCAAACACATTGCAAATAAATTTAAAGAGATAACAAAATTGTATTTATTTTGCCAGATTGTGTACAAATACCTGCATATATCTTTGCAAATAAACTATTATAATCTGTAATTTATTATTAATGACAAATAAAATCGTATTACTGAATCTCAACCTTATTAGTCATGAAATTATAATATTCAGACTTACCTGGACAATGATATATGACCCACTTAAAAGCCATTGCGTGTTTATACGTCATGTTACGATATGAGTCGATAAAATTTCCTTGTATTAAATCTTTATAGTATAAATTTTCTTGATTTATTAAATAATTGTATTTTTTCGAAAAGCCAACTAAAAAGAAAGTTGATGTATATCTCAACTTGCCTCCCCATGTGGTTCTTATAAAATTTCTCTTAGCAAAGTTCTGCGGTGCTGAGTGAATTAAAATGAGAATAATTGGTGTAATTGACTGACATCTATCATGATTTATTATGAACTTAAAATTCTGTAAATTTATCAATGTAGACTTATCAAGTTTTGTCGATCTGTTTACATAACTGAAAGGAATAGTATAATTTTCAGATAAAGAATAGTACGATGCCACTGGATACCCGATGAGGTTATAGGAATCGGAAATCCACTTAACCAAAAAGATACCAAGCATAACCAATGCACATATTGAAATACGAAGTATTGTGAATCCTCCATATAATCTTACTCGCATAGTATAGTTAATAAGTTTGTACCTGTAAATAAATAAATAAATTACTATTATTGAACTGTTTTTAGTTTCAAACAAAGGACAAAAATATCTAACAAAACAAGTTAACTGTAAGGATGGGTCAATAAGCTCTTAGAAAGTCCAAGGTATCATAACTTATATTGCTATAGTAAGTATCTTCTAACTAAAGTACTGTGAAAGTAGTTCAGTCAGATTCATCAAACGATTCTGTTGTTATCGTCGATTCATGTGAACGACTTTCGGTTATTTTTGCTTATATTTTTGTACACTAGCAGGTTAATGAAATAGCTCCAGCGAAAGTGAGGCCGAAGCTATCCCAGCTGTTTCATATAGGGGGTGATGTGCTCATCCCTCCTAATAACAAAAATCCAGCGAAAATACAAGTTACTTAATCTTTACAGTTCAATCTGTTCAATCTGTTCAATCTGTTTCCCAGACGTATGTAAAAACACCGAAATGTAGTAATTCAGATGCGGGTGGATAATAGACTCTACCAACTCTATTCTTTTGTGTGCAGAATTGTATTGATTAAACGTGGTATAAACCGTAAATTATACAACACTTTGTTGATCTTATCTATGACTTTGTGAATGTGTTATTTTTATATAAGTTTCCAGTCTAGTATGACACCAAAGCTGAGAACTTCATCACTGAAAATGACAATGGCCCCACTCTGCACCTCAACCCTTCGTAGCATATTTTAGTTTTAATATGGCCGATTTCACTTCAAATCACGCAAGGCACCTAGTAACCGGTAATCAAACAATATCAAAACACTTGTATTTTACTATAGGCTCAATATAAAAGGACGTGTATTTTTTATTTTTTCCTCAAGATGCATAGTTGCACCAATAATGCATTTGAAAGATGTACTTTCAGAAAATGAACTAATAAAAAAAAATCCTATTCAATTTTAATCGATTTGTGTATGCTTATTTATCATTAGAATAGAATGAATATATTTTTATATGATAGAAAAATATGAAGTCTTCAAATCTATGCATTAAAACAAATGTATGAATGCATTTCTGGGAAAATTAAGCACTTTTTTCCAAAACATGCATCTTATAATAAACTCAATATATTTCAAAAAAACCCATTTTTTTGCGCTTATAATTTTTATGAAGATTCTCTGATCCAATATTTTTAATCATATAGGTCCCATTTTCGATTTCTATTTTTATATAAAAAATATTTTTTTTTCAACTACAAAAATTTTTATCCTGACAATCATGCATTCACACTCGTAAGCACATAAATAAAGACCCTATCAAAAAAATCTAGCTGGAAATCCACCCTGGATTTCGAGCTGGAATTCCAGGTAGATTTCCATGTGTATTATTATGGATTTATATGGATTTTTATGAATTTCCATGATGGATTTCCAGATGAATAATCCAGATAGATTTCTCAAAAAATCCGGGTAAATTTTTTAGTGAAATTCCAGATTAGTATTTATAAAATTCCTGATGGATTTTTTATAAAATCCAGATGGATCTTCTATAAAACTCCAAATGGTTTTCTTACAAAATCTAGTTGTATTTTTCGAAATTCCAGATGGGTTTTTCATGAAATTCCAGATGGATTTTTTATGAAATTCCAGATGGATTTTTCATGAAATTCCAGATGGATTGTTTCAAATTTTCAGATGAATTTTCATGAATTCCAGATAGATTTTTAATGAAATTCCAGATGGATTTTTTAATGAAATCCAGTTGCATTTATTCGAAATTCCAGATAAATTGTTACATGAAATTCGGTTGAGTTTTTTTAATTACAAATAGATTTTTCATGAAATTCCAAATGCATTTTTTCAAGAATTGTAGTTGTATTTTTTTTTTTTTAATTTCAGTGGAATTCCAGTATATCCTGGTGCAATTTTTACAAGTTCCAGGTGGATTTATTCGGAATTTCACATCGATTTTGACGAAATTCAGATCAATTGCTTTAAAATTCAAATTTTTGTAAAATTCTATTTTAAATAATATTACTCATGCATAAATGTTTCAAAAATTATTGTGGGTAACGAACCTATGTCAAAATAATCCAGTATTGGTCATAATGTTTTCTTACTTAAAGCTTTATTACATTTATATAATTAAAAATATTTATAAGCATTTTACATATATATTACATTTATGTAAATTTGTACATGTTTATTTTACCAACATCGTCATCACTGAAAATGTCACTAATTAAGGAGACCAGCTAGCGTTAAACAGGAAAAAGAGGTATCCGAAAAACGCTCAAAATCAGCCCCTGTTTTTGAGCCTAACATAAGTTTTGAACAAGAAGAGATAAATAAGCGAAACACGGTTCAAAATAATCGTTATTCCATGCTGTATCCCCTAAAAATAGAAAACTAGCCCTAACAGGGGATGTAAAGTTTCAAATATCTAAAAGCGTCAATAAAATACGAGTATTCTTCAAATATCTTCTTTTTTCTGTTACAAACATACTAGTACTAAAATACAATATCTACGTCAGTTATTCTAACTTATGACCATTCCAACCCCTAAAAGTTCAAAAACTACCCTTATCAGGGGGTGGAAAGCAATTCATGATCAAGAACATTTATAAAGTAGTATTAAATTGTATTTTATCATTATAATATAGTAACTTTCTATATTATAACGATAAAATACGACGAATATTTTATTGAAAAAAAGAATTTCGATACATTTTCAAATCAAGAGATTCTAAACAATTTTCATCAAATAATGAATACTGATTTATAATTACAAACGAAAAATTCTAATATCATATTTAAATAAATAAATAATAGATAAACTTTTAGTTAACGAACTATTAATGAAGAGAAAATTTCATATTATGTGATTTAACTGCATCTAATCTTGTTAATATCTGATTTCTGTCCAATTTTCTTCTTCTGGTTCTTAAGGCAGACATTAATTTCTTCTGTTATAAAAGAATATGGTCATTTTTTTGTAAAATTTTTTTGCAGCAGTACTTCAGACACTCTGAAATCATACAGTTTCATTAAACACAAGATAGTATAATAGGCACCGTGATCGTGGAAAATACGTACTTTCGATAATAGTTTGCTCGGTATAATTAAAAGGAACTCGGCGATTGACGCCTCTTGGCGAATAAGATACTTTGTCTCCCGAAACACACTGTTTGCTAAGTGCTTCGTCGTACAAATCATTTTCATCAGTATATAATTTTCGAAGAATCAATTTCGTAAATTTCTTTTCATTTTTTGCTTGCAGCATATTCTTCCATTTGTCGTATAATATCTTGGTATCTTTATTCAACCAAATGTATACAATCTGAAAATAATAAAATATACATTAATAATTTAGTTAAGTTTGTTTTTTCTGATCCCTATACCATAATCGGTTTTTAGGGCACTTCCACTCACCACTGTAGTGTAGGGAAGTGTTCCCAAGAAGCATTCGGACTACGTCTCTTCAAATTGGTAATCCAAATTATTGCTTCTACTGTAGGTGCTCAGCATGAATTCTATTGGCTTTTTTATATTTTTTTGGTGCTCTTTCGTACGATATATCTGATATATCTGAGTGACTAGTATTTACGTTGTAATCATCTTCGTTAACATTGACTTGCATTTTGGACTGGGGCAAGGTTTTTGATGTTTTTTACCGCGACTTTTAAATACATTTCTTGATAAGGTTGTCAACTCTTGTGGATGTAATTGTACTTTAGGATATCCAAAGATACTCCAAAGATACTAAGGTCGTTGATGGTAACTTCTCAGAGCCATCTCCAATTCCTGAGTCTTGTGTGTGTTCATCCACCGGTTTTGACAACTTCTTCATAGGTGAAAATATTTCAACGTCGAGATTCAGCTTTCTTAAACCAAAAAAGTTACAAAATGTAGTTACGAAAACTAGTTTAATATGTGTATGTTGTATCGCTATACAATGTATATTATTCAATTAATCGCCAGCCTCTACTCATACTATTTTTTATTCATAATCTATTTTATAAAATGCTATTTTTCAGAGTCAGATCTAGATGATGTTTACATTCGTTTGAATGCAATACGATTTTGTCTGAATGAACTATACTATACAATATTATTCAAAAGAGTAAACTAAAATAACTGACATACATACAAATATCCAATGTGAAAAATCCACATACGATTTCCATAAGCATTTCCACATGGAGGAATGAATTCTATATGGATCTCTGTATGGATTTTCATTATCAACTTTACTAGTGAAATAAACTCGTATGAGATTGTCGAAAAAAAGCATCTTTTAAAAATAATGATTTAGTAGCATTCTATAGAAACGAATGAAATATAGTATTATATTGGGCCACATTATCAAGTATCATCTTCTTTAAGCGCCTCAAGAACTTAAGGTAGTATCGGCTATAAATCGAAAATAGTGCTAAATTCACCCCCCTTACCCTAGCCTGCAAAGTGTAATGGACAGTGAAAAAAAAAATACCATTCGAAACATCTCTAATTGAACCCTCCAAAAATGCTCAATATTTTAATTGAACCCCTTCAGTTGTCCCAAAAAAAATTAAAAAATATGATGATTTTTTCGTTTTTTGCAACTGCGATATCTTTAGTAATACTTAATATTTTTGCAAAAGAAACAAGGCAAAAAATTGAACCTTTGCTCGTTTTAATTGCACCCCTCTCACTTTTTCAAAATTATTAATATACATGTCAAAAACAACAATCTAACTTTATTGTATGTTCTTTCCAAATAACCCAATAACCCAATAATCTATTTGAAAAGAACATACAATAAAGTTAGATTGTTGTTTTTGACATATATATTAATAATTTTGAAAAAGTGAGAGGGATGCAATTAAAACGAGCAAAGGTTCAATTTTTTGCCTTGTTTCTTTTACAAAAATATTAAGTATTACTAAAGATATCGCAGTTACAAAAAACGAAAAAATTATCATAGTTTTTAATTTTTTTTGGGACAACTGAAGGGGTTCAATTAAAATAATGAGCATTTTTGGAGGGTTCAATTAGAGATGTTTCGAATG